GGTGTTGGAGGAGAATATTGAAAGTGCCATGGGCTGACAAAAGAACCAGTAGATCTGTTTTGGAAGAAGTACAGCCAGAGTGCTCTTTGGAGGCCAAGATGTCCAAACTTCGTCTCTCATACTTCGGACATATTGTCAGGAGGGACCAGTCGCTGGAGAAGGATATCGTGTTTGGTAAGGTTGAGGGTCAGAGAAAAAGAGGAAGACCCCCAACGAGATGGATTGGCCAAGTGGCAGCATCGCTGGACTCAAGCATGGCAACAATAGTGAGGTTGGCCCAAGATCAGGCAGTGTTTCGTTCTTCTGTGCATAAGGTTGCTATAAGTCGGTACCCACTCGATGGCACCTAACAATAACAACATGTATGAAATCACTTTACCCGCAAGCTGGACAATGAATAAGAAAGATTAAAGAATTGATGCATCTGAATTGTGATATGGCGAAGAACATAGACCATACCACATGGTGTTGTATATCAGCACTGGACTGGGAACCACAAGGTCAGCAGTTCAAACCCACCTGCTGCTCCTTGGAAACGCTATATAGGGTTGCTATGAGATGGAACCGACTCAATGGTACTTAACAATCACAACAGTCAGAAGAATAAATAAATCTGTGTTGTAAGAAATAAAGCCAGAATATTTCTTAGAAACAAGGCTGGAGAGAAACTTCATCTCATGTATTTTGGCTCTGTTATCAGGAGGGACCTGTTCCCGGAGACTTGGTAAAGTCGAGCGTCGGTGTAAAAGAGAAAAACCCTTAATGAGATGGACTGACGCAGTGGCAGCAACCCTGGGCTCAAACACAGCAATGATGTTGACGATGGCACAGGACTAGGGGTGTTTTGTTCTGTTATACAGAGTCACTGTGAGTCAGAGCTGAATTAACAGCAACATCTTTAAATTGAAAGAACCAGGGTAACATGATATTCTTAAAATGAGTCCTCATTTTGCTATGTTTAACTGGCTGGGGAAATAAAGTGGAAGACCTAAAAATGTCAAGTGTATGTGCTTGAGAAGCAGAATTTCAGATCAATATAAGCACAGCTCCAGGCTGGGTCCTCATTCAGGTGCTGTTCTCTGTGGCCCTAGAGAGGACCATGAAATTTGGCCTAGCTACTCACTTCTCACTAAGGTTGTTTGGAGACTGGCTCTGGAACCAGGAATGCCAATATTTTTCCAGGAATGTTTGGAAAAGAACACCAAACCAGGTCCAAGGGAAATCCCTTTTCAGCAGTCGAAGGGCTTGTCTAGCCAGTTTTTTGGCCAAGGTGATTTGTCCCATGTTGAAACAGACCTGTAGAAAATGAGGAATGGTAATGTGAATGTGGGAAGAGTCCTGTGGCATAGACCTGAATGTTACAGGTTGGATATTTGGGGAAATGTAGTTGAGGTCCGTGGGGTGCCGTAGTGAGTTGGGTTGGAGCAGAGCCTAGTTAGCAGTCACACTAACAAGCACCAGCAGGGCCCTAAACAAGGAAGCTCCCCATTCCCCCCCAAATCCCACTGCCATCAAGTCCAGTCTGACTCACAAGGCTGTAAATCTTTACAGAAGTAGACTGCCTCATCTCTTTCTCCCAGGAACAGCTGATAGGTTAGAACTGCCAATCTTTCAGTTACCAGCCAAGTTCTTAAGCATTGTGCCTTTGGGGCCCCCAATAAACAAGTAAAGGGCTGAGAAAATAGATTGATGGAAAAGGCACCTCCTTCCTCACATTCCACACATTTGGTAGTGAATGGCAGAGGAAGGCTAGGCTTTAGAAAGAGGCTACTAGACAAGGAAGAGAGTCTCCATCTGGGTGGAGACTCAGGTGCTCTCAATGCCATAGAACAATCAAAATATCACCCAAACCCCCATCTCTCTCTTAACAGGCCACACCACCACAGCTGACATGGGTGGGGGTGGGGAGCTACCTTCAGGTTATCCTGTACATTGACATTCTATGTGATTCCAGAATAATCTTGGGAAGGCTGCACAATAACTTCTTATAAAGAAACAGGAATAATTATTTCATTTTGCTCCAAAGACCTCTTGGTTAAAGCACAAATAACGCAACACAGTTGTTGTTAAGTGCCACTGAGTCAATTCCGACCCATAGCAACACTGTATAGGGTTTCCAAGGAGCAGCTGGTGAGCTTGAACTACCAACCTTGCAGTTCAAACAACTTTGCAGTCTGATGCATTAGCCCACAGCGCCACACTGTGGACAACTCAAATATTCCCTTTGGTACTCAACTGCATTGTACACAGTAGGCTTACTCTCCTAACCAGATTATTTTCAGTTTTACATTAGAATAAGTTTATATACTCCAATGAACACAGGACATGAATGGGCACTGCACAGAAAAATAGATATATGCATACATACAGATGATCAATAAATGTATGAGAATGCTTCTTATGAAGAAATACATATTAAACCACTGTATAACTTTCATTTATGGATTACCACGCTTACAGAGATTAATATTGGATGCTGGCAAGGATATGAAGAAATGGGGAAAAATTCAGTTGATATAATATTTTAGTGGCCGATTTGGCAATTTTTATTAAATGTAAAATTGCCTATATTTTCTCTTAGCATCTTTACCTCTAGAAATTTCTCTTACAGAAACAGTCTCACAAGGGAAGAAAGAGTAATTTATACAACTATTCACTGCAGCAATGTTTGTAACAACTCCATATTCAAGGTGACACAAATGCACATGAAGAACTGTTACATAAACTGTGATGTACCATCCCTCAATGGAGTTATCTGCGTGATGGGTACGCACACCGATATGCACGCATGCTCAATTTGGACTACTAAGAATCAAAGCCAGCTGCAGAAGAGAATTCTATTTAAAAACGGTTAATGATAAGACTGTGTGTGTAACATTGGTGGGCTATGCACCAAATTCCGAATTATGATAAGGGTTCAGTGGGGCCTGTCCAGGTGATCTGCTCCTATAAAGACGACAGCCTAGGAAGAAGCCCTATAGGGCAGCCCTGTCCCAGTCTACAGGGTCGCTATGAGTCAGAATCAGCTTGACGGCACACAACTACTATCTACATTGAAAATTTCTGTGTTTTGAAGCTGTGTAACCTTTGATTTTAAAAGAATTAACAGGGTAGCCCTCAGAGGGAAATAACCAAAGTTTCGAGGTTATTCCCTTCTTCCTCACCTCTGACCGAAGACTGCAGAAAGTGGCCTCCTCAAACTGACAGATCTTCACCTTGTGCCTTTTCAAGAATGAGAAGGCTGAGGGTGGTCCCAGAAGACTGCTTGCCTTCCTCAAGTAAAAGAAGGCCTCCAGAAACAAAGGTTGTGGGGATGAAGAACCTAGATCAGGATTAGGATGCTGCTGGGAGTGAGACTGGGCTGAGGGCTGGAGTAAGGGTGCAGTGGTGGTCAAGGTTAGAATCTGAATTGGGGTTGGATTTAAAGTTAGAAACGGAAGCTAAGCATCCCATCCAGTGTCAGAGGTAGGAGTAGCACCCCCTCTAAAACCTTTCCACTTCCTTTCTCCTCCCACTTTCTTTTACCCTTCATCCAAGTTACTTGACCTAAGAAATCCCCATCAAATTCCCAAAGTAAAGGGGCTCCACTCCAGGCAGAGAGCAGAGCTGCTTACCATGTAATTATCCGCCAGATCCAAGGAGGCAGCGGCAGCCTCTAGCAGGTAATAAAATGCACAAGTGGTTTCTCCAATCACCAAGCAGTGTAGGGTGAGGGGTGAGAGCACTAACTTCAGAATTTCCTCACAGTGACAGGCCTTTGTGGTCAACATGTCTTCCTCAGGGTCGATCTGAGCCAGCATCCTGCTCACTCGGTCCAGGAACTCTTCCTCTGTTCTTTACAGAGAAAAGATGAAGAACTGAGAGAGGCCATAAAGCTGACACTTGCATCAGAGTCTTACTAGGTTTCAAAGCTATTTTTTCCACAAGAAGCTTTCCTGTACACCGTGTTAATTCTTTACCTATCCTTTCCCTCCATGTCCCTACACGTTTTTGAAAGTGAGGAAGCAGATACTTACCTGCAGTCACAATCTAACTGGGAAAACATTATGTACCTGAAGAGTTAAATAAAAGCATAAAAACAACACAAGGCAATAGTACATTTGTGTATTAGCATATTTCAATTTTGCAAAAGCACACTTGCGCATGACTTTATGCAATTTTATACCTGATTATTTCACCTGTTGTTGTTAAGTACTGTGGAGTCGGTTCTGACTCATAGCGACCCTGCACAGGGTTTCCGAGGCTGCAAATCTTTACGGGAGCAGAAAGCCTCATCTTTTTCCTGCAGAACAGCTGGTAGTTTCGAACTGCCAACCTTGAGGTTACCAAGCCTGATTCGTAACCACTACGCTACTTCACCTGAGCCTATATCAATTCTGCAGCTTGGGCCAGTACAAATGATCTCTCTTTTACATAGGAGGCAATTTGAGGCTCAGAAAGATTCAGTGATATGGCCTCACAGCTACTGAGAAATACAACCAAAACGCGAGAACGCCTCTTCTGACTACTACCACAGTGCACTTTCCACAGGTACCCTGAGGTAGGACCACTCTGAGCGTGAACAGAGCTCAGGTGGGAACCAAGCAGGGCCTTGAAGGACAGTGAACCTTTGGCTCAGTGGAGAGCGATGAAGGTCGTTCACCATTTTAAAAAGGGAGAGTTGTGTGAGCAAGGACATACAAAGTTGAGTGAGGAATTGGTTCCCATAGAAAAGACTTTGGTTTGAAAACAGTAGGAAATGAGGCTGAATAAGTGAAATGGGAAACTATACAGAGTAGCTGAACTCAAGGTAAGAACACTGAAAACAGATGGACAGGTATTAGAGAGGTAGGTGGTACACAGGAAACAAATTCATTTTCATATCATTTGGGGTTGAAAGTATCGAAGAAGGCAAGTTATAGCTGAGAGAGATCTGTTATATGTATAATGCATTAGAAAGCTATTTGTTTGAAACCACTAAGAAATAATTTCCCTATAGAGAACTGACTTTCTAAATCTCTTGTTCACTTGACTTCTGGGCTGAGTGTAAGAGTCACTATTCCTGGGTGGCAGGAAAACCACCCTGAATAAGATGTGTGCCCCATTTCAGTAGGCATCTGTCTCTCTATGCCCACCCTCAGTATCTCCATCTACCTGCAGGGATCACTTGAGGAGGTCTCCTGCCTGCTGAATGGTTTAGTCTGGAACTGAAAACTATCTGTAGGGAGAAAAAGATGGTTATCTGTAGTTAGCAGTGTTTGGTTTACCTGAGAACATTTAACATTCCTGACTTCCTTTCCTCCACAGCTCAGCTAAGAACTTACCTGTCATCACCTTGATAAAAACAAGTGGTCTCATTATTAGCCTACAAAAGCAAAATTACGATGGTAGATAGCAAATTTCTTAATGGCAACTATTTGTGATCCAACAGCTGCTGTTGTTAGGTGCTATTGAGGCAGTTCCAGTGAGTCTACACCATCCTCCCAATCACTGCTGTTAGAGCTCACTGTTGGAGCCACTGGGTCAATCCATCTCAGAGTCCCCTTTTATTGCTGACCCTCCACTTTTACTAAGAATGATGTCTTTCTCCATGGACTGGTCCCTCCTGATAACATGTCTAAAGTACATGAGACAAAGTCTCACTATCCTTGCCTCTAATGAACATTCTGGCTGTACTTTTTCCAAGACACACTTCATTGTTCTTTTGGCAGTCCATAGTATATTCAACATTCTTTGTCAACACCATTTGACAGTCTTCCTTATTCATTATACAATTTCACATGCATGTGAGGGGACTGAAAATAGCCAGGCTTGAGTCGGTACACCTTAGTCTTTGCTTTTCAACACATTAAAGAGGTCAATGCAACAGATCTGTCAGATGCAATACATCATTTATTTCTTCACTGCTGCTTCCAAGTGCAGTGACTGTGAATCCAAGTAAAACACAATACTTGACAACTTCTATCTTTTCTCTTATTGGTCTAGTTGTGAGGATTTTTGTTTTCTTTATATTAAAGTGTAATCCACACAGAAGGTTTTAATCTCTGATCTTCAAGTCCTCTTTGTTTTCAGCAAACAAGGTTGTATCATCTGCATATCACAGGCTACTGGGTTATCTACATGTAAGTCTTTCTCCAATCCTGATGGCACGTTTTTCATACAGTCAAGCTTCTCGGATTGCTTGCTCAGAATACAGTTTGAATACATATGGTAAAAGGATATGGTCCTGATGTATATCTTTTCTGATTTTAAATTTCAGTATCCCCTTGGTCTGTTTGAACAATTGCCTCTTGGTCTGTGTACAGGTTCCAGATAAGTACAATTAAGTTTCCTGGAATTCCCATTCTTCACAATGTCATCCATAATTTATTATGACCCACACAGTTTAATGCCTTTGTGCAGTCAATAAAATACAGGTGAACACCTTCTTGTATTCTCTGCTTTCATCTAAGATCTATCTGACATCAGCAATGATATCCCTCATTCCACATCCTTTTCTGAATCAGACATGAATTTCTGGCAGTGTCTTGTTGAGATTCAAATAGTAACTCCTTTATTTCCAATCCTCCCAACCAGTTCCCAACTCAATAGGAGGCACTCAATGTCTGCGAGATGAAGGAAGAAATGAACACAGAATTTGTCTGTCCTGGATTGATGACTACTCCTAGTAGAAATCCTTGGGTCAGGGTCAGGTTCCTGACCAGATCAGATTGAACCAGAGCCGAAGACACAGTTAAGAAAATCACAAGAGCACAAGATGCTAGAGTCACAGTGACCAACATATTTCCAGCTTTGCCTGTTGTTGTTATTGTGAAGTGTCGTTGAGTCAGTTCTGACTCATAGTGACCCTATATAAGGTTTCTGAGGAGTAGCTAGTGGATTTGAATCACTAAACCTGTGGTTAGCTGTCCAGTGTTTATCCTACAGTGCCACACCAGAACTCCTGTTGTTGTTCTTGTTAATTGCCATAGAGTCAGTTCCGACTCACAGTGACCCTGTGTAGGGTTTCCAAGGAGCGGCTGGTGGGTTTGAACTGCCGACCTTGCGGTCTAGTATATTATCCTACAGTGCCACACCAGGACTCCTAGCAGGTCTCAAATAGCCTTTGTCCTCCAGATTTGATTCTCCTTCTCCAGTTAGCTCTAGGAATGACACTGAGATTTTATCGATCAGTCCTCAGAAGCATGGGTGGTAGAACTGAAGAGGAGTCTATGAGAATTGCTGTAGGAAGGACTGGCTCTCTGAGGGTAATGATGTCAAATGACAGCTGAGCTAAGTGAAGTCTGGCAGCACTGCTGCAGTGAATCACATCACAGTGTCTGTGATCTACTGAAGTGACTAATAGCTCTTCTGGTCCTAAGCTGTAACCCCTGCTGGGTATGGGAAGAGACGGATAGGATAGCAGATTTAGCTGTGGATGTTCAGAGCTAATTGCAATTGAAAAAATCTGAAACTCTAGCAATGGGTATAAAATGAACCATCTTGGAGCAGGATGTGGGAGATCTTATTACACAATGGAAGATGAACCGGGGGAGTGAAGCATGTCCTCTGGACCTTGAGATCCCTGTACATCGATCCTCCTCAACCCAGGGACAGAAAGCTATGGCACTGAAGGAGTGGTAGAGGAGCAGCAGCAGCAAAACCAAGGGCCTGAGCACTACACAGAACAGGGGGCTTCCCAGCCCACAGAGCAAGTAAAGCCGAGGGACTTTCAGCAGGAGACTTGTTTGCAGAGTGGGGTGCCTCCAGGAAGTTAATTGGGGGAGCTAGGCTTGCTGACCCACAGAGCTAGAGTCAACTAGAATGGTGTGTCCTTTGGTTATTTATCAGCAACACCAACAGAGTTTTGTCACACTGGCCAGACAGAGAGAGGCCTGTCTGTGGGCACAGCTGAGGAGAGGCTGTCCTAACAGGAACAAATGTGCTCTGAGCAGTTCTGACCCTGAACTGTAGCCTGCTTGGTGCTGTGGGATAAAGCACTAGACTGCAATGTTGGTTTGAATCACAAGGTCGGTGGTTCAAATCCACCAGGTGCTCGCGCCTCTGAAACCCTATATAGGGTCGCTATGAGTCAGAACCAACTTCAGTGGCACTTTACAACAACTTCCCTAGTAAGCCCAATAACTGTGAGAACGTTGTCTGAGTTCTGTGTGGCCACTGTAATCAATGATGGAACCCAGCTGAATAGAGAAGGCTGTGGGAGGAATGGTTTGTTGTGTCCTATTCGTTATGTTCAGTCTGTGATTAGCAAGCACTCTGAGGAACTGTGTGGTGCCTACTTTGTACAGCCGTGCACAGAGGTCCTGGCTCCCTTCAGGATGCAGCTGTGCTGGAAACATCTTGAGTCTCTCTCATTAGCTGACGAGTTGTCTGCTTTAAAACTGACACTGACCTATCTAAAGCAAAGAGCCATACAGCAAATGTTAATGATGGCATATTTTCTTCACAATACCAGAGCAGGATATTCACTGCTCTTTTCCTTTTCATGCTCTTGAAGTACAAAAAGTATAGATGCTATAGAGTTCATCAGCCAATGACCAAGGCACCAGTCCATCTTCACAGTCATCAGAATGCTACAGCTAGAAGATATGCATTAGGAACATAGACCAACTTCCTCCTTTGAGCGCTTCACCACCAACAATCTATCATGTCCCTATATTCTCCTACTACCGCCAATGCCACTGCCAATACCAACACCCATCTTCTATCGAAGTGTAGAGAAAGCGAAAATTCAGTTGTCTTCAAATATGGACAAGGACACCACTATGAAAAATGGATGAAGTAACAAAGAGGTAGATTTAAGCTTGATGAAAGAAGAAACTTCTTTATGGCCAGAGACAAGGACACGCTGTCCTGTCAGGTAAGCTAACTGAAGATCGTAAAACAAGATTACTGGGATGCAACGGAAGGACTAGGCTATGAAGAACATCCATCTACTAATCCAAACTTCTTCAAGGAGCTAACTCCAGACACAGTTCTGGGGTTACCTCCCTCAATAGAGAGTCCTCTCTGACTCTTGCACAGGCTGGGTTAATAGCTACTTCCATTACCTTTGCCATGCCATACTGGAATTCTATGTTGGGATTACCTCCCCCTGATAGCTTCAGGTAGACAGACTGAAGGCTTTTTATTTTGTATTCCTAACACCTAGTGCAGTATCTGGTACATGTAAGTCTCAATATATGTATACTAAACTGAGTAACTAAAAAGAATTCAGAACTATTCAAAGCATACTATCTATTTTAACTCACTGAATCCTCAAACAACCCTTTTAAAAACACTGTTCCCCAAATCACTGATGTTAAATAACTTGCCCAAAGTTGACAATGAAACCAAGAATGATCTTCAAGGTTCCATTTAACTCTGAAATTACATTTTTTGAAATCACTGGTGTTTCAAAGATGAATGCTTCTTTCTACCTCTTTCCTCCCTTAATCTTATTTCTACTTTTTGAAGAAGAGATTCAAGTACATGAATCAAGAGAAGTGCTGCCCCCATGTTTACTCTCTGCCCTGGCTTTACCTTGAGGAGAAGGCAGGTGCAATTTGTCTGTGACTGCTTGTGTTAGCACTGAGCCAGTATCTTTGTAACTACAGAATCGGGAGGTCCCACTGGAGTGCTTAGTAGAACAGATGGCAAAACGGTGGAAGGGGACAAAGTCTCCCCCATGGCAGCTCCCACAGCGGCAGGCCAGATCTCGGAGAAAGCAGGCACATTCAAGGTGCAGGGCTATCTGCTGTTCCTTGGGCCACAGCTCCCAAGCAGCTTCCCGTAAGAGAGGTACTCCAAATTCTAGCACCTCAGTTTCAGGTGGGGGTTGTTCCTCATGCAGTCTGAAAGGAGAGGCTGAGCCAGTATCTGAAATGCAGAAAAAGTTACGTGACAGTCTCTCTTCAAGTCCCGTGCAAGCCACAATGTAGCAAATCCCCCAGGATAGAGGTGCTAGTTTACAAGAAACACTTATTTACATCTCCTGGTTAGTATCACTGTTTCCTTTGTATAAAGAATTCTGCACAAATCTGAGAATGATATAGGCCAGATCAAAGATAATGTACAAAGGGGATTAAAGCATCAGGGGGACATATATACACTGAATAGATTTCTTAATTCCTCTTCCTAAATTGAGCTTCAGAGCTCTGGTAGCACAGTGTTTAAAACATCGCTTGATGGTTCACACGCACCAACTGCTCTGTGGGAGAAGATGTGGCAGTCTGCTGCTGTGGGTTTTACAGCCCTACTCTGTGCTGTGTACGCTCGCTATGAGTCAGAATCGACTCAACGACACTTAACACCGACGCTGTGCTAAAGGGTTGCTATGTTTTACAACTGACTCGGTAGCAATGAGTTTGGCTTTCATTTGGATAAGTGGAGTGTGTGAGCTTTTTTGTTTTACTTTTGATTATTGTGAACATCAAATCATCAAAAATGCCCTATTCAAATATAGGGCCCAAACATGGAAGGTAAAAGGGAAATTCCTTGCTGGTTATACATGCTCTGGGTAGTCTAAGCCACAATTTTATTTTTCATGTGAAGATTTTGAGATTGGGAGCTATTTAATTTATATTTTGCTTTTGTTCACGTCTGTTTTAATACCATGTTTATCTTCCTTGTTGATTTCTATAAAGAGAAATGGGTTGTCCTTTTTTCCTCATCAGTAAAAGACTATGTCAGTAAAAGACTATGCAATATTTTCTGAACCAAAAATCAAAATGCAATACTGACACACAGATGAACAAGGAAGTAGAATTCATGAATGCAAAACTACTGCACATTTTCTCACTACAAGACTGGCTCCTTTAAGATTAAAATGATTATTCTTTTCCTGTTTGTTAGCCATATGCTTTAAGAGGCAGAGGTCCCTTGTATACGATATTGATGACCTGTCTGAACAGGGATACTCCAACCTGGTGTTCTCTGTTCAGGTCTCAGAACAAGGGAGCAGCTCTCCTCACCTGATTTTTCTGTCTTCTCTTTGGTTTGTTCAATAATGTTGATAGAGGAAGGTACCACTACTGGCTGAGCAGGAAGCTCTTGGCTCTTGTTGAGCCAATGGAACACATGCATATCCACAAGAGCCCTCAGAACCTGCAGTAGCTTATGCTTATCCCAGCCAGGCAGGAGGTGCTGCAGCAGATCTATGTGGAAGGAATGACCGATGACAGCAGCACACTTGACCAGTAACTGCTCTTCTGGGCTCAACTGATCCAGTTGGTTCACTGCTATTTCTGTAACAAAAATAAAATTAAATGAACAATGAACAAGACTTGTACACATCTAGAATACACTATGTTGATAATTGGTTCATCCTTTAACGAAATCAGAAGTTTACATTTTGTCCACTCTCCTACTGCCTTGCTTTAACCCTCTCTGCTACACTAGCCCCATCTCTAGAGCCTTCTCTCTCTGTCCTCACTTCCCACACACTCTTCAGGCAGGTTTCTACCATACCACAGAAACTGCTCTCCCCATGGACACTAAAACCCAAGCCAGTGCTCGAATCACTCCATTTCATGCCCTATTAATACCCAGATCTTTGTTTGCTACTGCCAACTAAACATATAGGTCAGGTTTCTTGCTTCCAGATCTCTGGTACTTATAAACAACTTACTTAAATCCAAGTATTGTTGTAATCTCTCCATATTCTGATCCACACATAAAAGCACTTGGTATTGGGCCAGGTAGTCACCATAGCCAAATCACTGGTCTACTTCTAAGTTCTTTCCTTTCCCTCATAACCAAATGTCACTCATTCATCCTCCTTCTAAAATGTGCTTTTCCTTTTTTTAAATGTTTTTTTGTGAATTATGTGATAGCTTACATGGGAGAACATTAGCTTTACATTCATCCTATCATATATTGTTTCATCATCAACCAACCAAAGGGTATACACTACAAGCCTGCCCCCT